GTCCTATGGGCCGGTGCGTGTTATGGGACGAAAAATACGGTAATTCTTGCTCTGAAAGCAGCAGAGTGCAATGCGTAGAACAGTTGCCGACTTTGCCCACTGGGTGCTCTCTGTAGTTCTCCAACTACAACTCCCATCAGTCCCAGCCAGAACAGCACCTGGTTGACAACAGCATGGCAGTGTGTCCTACATTACAGAAGGCAGTCCTCTATGTGACTGCCTGGGTCCAGTTTAAAACATAAGAAACCATCAGAGGCGAGGTGACAGGGGCACCCTCACCAGGGGCAGGGCTGGTTCACTCACAGATGCTCTTGGATAAAAATAATTACCTTACCTGTTCCAATCTGGGGTTGCATTCAGACGTGGGGAATCTTACGCTAGTTTTCCTGGTTATAATGCTTCTGTCCCATTCCCAGTGTTAGAAATTAGGATAGCGCTTTAAACCTGGGTTACGGTCACCGCAACGTAAGGCACTTTTCTTTTCTTTTTTTGCAATGGCATTTATTATTATTATTTCATTTCTATACCGCTTTATATTTTAAGGGGGGAGGGAATCTCAACATAGTTTAAAAAGGTAAAGGGACCCCTGACCATTAGTTCCAGTCGTGGCCGACTCTGGGGTTGTGGCGCTCATCTCGCTTTGTTGGTCTAAGGAGCCGGCGTACATCTTCCAGGTCATGTGGCCAGCATGACTAAGCCGCTTCTGGTGAACCAGAGCAGTGCACGGAAACACCGTTTACCTTCCCACCGGAGTGGTACCTATTTATCTACTTGCACTTTGACGTGCTTTCAAACTGCTAGGTTGGCAGGAGCAGGGACCGAGCAATGGGAGCTCACCCCGTCGCAGGGATTCGAACCGCCAACCTTCTGATCGGTAAGTCCTAGGCTCTGTGGTTTGATCTCACAGTTTACAACACGTTAAAACACCCAATGAAACATTCCAGAACAGAACAAATTCAAGCTTCTGGGAAAATATTTCAGATCCTTCTCTCCAAGCAACATTTTGCTTTCCCCATATTTATTTATCTACTGAATTTATAGAGCTGCCCCATAGCAGAAGGACTCTAGGAAGCCAATGTGGTGCAGCAGTTAGAGTCTCAGACTAGGAATCTGAGAGATCAGGGTTCAAATCCCCACTCAGTCATAAGCTCAATGGGTGGCTGTGGGCCAATGGCTGTCTCTCGGTCTAACCTACCTCACAGGGCTGTTGTGAGAATAAATGGGGAGGGAAGAGCCATGTGTGCCACCTTCAGCTCCTCAGATATAAAAGCAATAATAAACATTCACGCAATTGGCTGTTATTAACTGTGGATTATATAGAACATTTAAATTCATGAAGTGCTTCCCAATGCTCAAATTATGGGTCCCCAATGCTCAAATTTGTCCCCAATATTTGTCCCCAATGCTCAAATTATGGGTAAGGTAAAGGTCAAGGGAGCCCTGACCATTAGGTCCAGTCGTGACCGACTCTGGGGTTGCGGCGCTCATCTTGCTTTATTGGCCGAGAGAGCCAGCGTACAGCTTCCGGGTCATGTGGCCAGCATGACTAAGCCACTTCTGGCGAACCAGAGCAGCGCATGGAAATGCAGTTTACCTTCCTGCCGGAGCGGTACCTATTTATCTACTTGCACTTTGACGTGCTTTCAAACTGCTAGGTTGGCAGGAGCAGGGACCGAGCAACGGGAGCTCACCCTGTCGCGGGGATTCGAACCGCCGACCTTATGATCGGCAAGTCCGAGGCTCTGTGGTTTAACCCACAGCGCCACCCATGTCCCTAATTATGGGTAAAGGAATTTTTTTACACAAAATCTGCAAATCTCCCTTCCAACAGAACTCAGTCCTAAATGCTATTTGTTCTCCTAACCTAGTATTGTATGCTGGGCTATTGGGAAGTCAAGAGTATTAATGAATATTTTGCCATCACCTCCAACCAAGTTCTGTCCCTTTTTTTAAACTGGCGATGCCTGGGATCGAACCTAAGACCTTGTGTGTGTTCGTTTGCAAAAACAAACAAACCTCGAAGCAGTTTACAAAAAGAATAAACAAAACAATTAAAAAGTGATTGGTTGAAAACACTAAAAAAGCAACAATCTGGAACATTTTTTAAAAATCGGCACTAAACTAAAAAGCAGATTAAAACATACACATCAACTTTATACCTATCTGGATAGGCTTGTCTAAACAAGGCACCAAAAAGAGAACAGCGAAGGTGTCTTCCTGATATCAATAGGCAGAGAGTTCCAAAGTACAGTGGTACCTCGGGTTACATACACTTCAGGTTACAGACTCCGCTAACCCAGAAATAGTGCTTCAGGTTAAGAACTTTGCTTCAGGTTGAGAACAGAAATCATGCTCTGGAGGCCCGGCAGCAGCGAATTAAGTACTTAACCCGAGGTACCACTGTATATGTTTCTTACAAATGCAGCTTGGTTATGACATGGCACCTTAGAGAAGGGACTGACTAAACTGAATTCACTCAAAGCCACACAGTGAACTATGACAGAAGGAGGTGGGGGGGAGTAGCCTTCTGGGTCAAGCATGACTCCTTATGCACAGGAAAAAACACTCCATCTCTCTTGAAAGACACGCATGAATATATATCCTTGACGCACAGAATTGTCACGCACCCCTCACCCTGCTTGCCATCTCCACCAAAGAGCACAGAACCTGCGCAGGTGAATAGCCCCCTTCAATTTTTCCATTAACAGGTAAACCTGAACTGGAAAATGTGCCGGCATGTGCAACATACCGAGGGGAATTTAATCCGACAGGAACTCTTGCGGCACATTGCCCTTCCTGACCAAATTCCTCACTGTGTCATTATTTTTTTTAAAAAAAAGGAATAAATCTTTGCCAGGGAGCAACTTGCTAGGCAGACCTGGAGTTTAACCTCCCCCCTGCCCCCCCCCCCAGGCACCTCTCTTCCGCAACAGCCCTGCTTGCAATTTCCCTTCAGAAAGGGCAAAGCGCATGGTCACATTTTTCTGTGTCTGGTTAGCGGTTTTCTATTATTATTTTTTAAAAAATACCTAGGGAGTGCCTTGCCGGTTAAACCACCCGTTTCTATTTTTAAGCCGTACTGCTGTGCTGGGTTATCTACACAAACACACACACACTTTCCTCCTGCAGCCTCTTCCCTGCTTGTGGATAAATCTGTTTTGGGGTTGTTTTTTTAAAGCGACTTGCCTTCTTGCAAAGTGCCGCAAACCTGATCGATGCAACCCAGGAGGAAGGCCTGGCTGCCCCTGCTGATGCCAAGTCATCCAGGAATACTCTGGAGGTGCCAGTACAGCCCCCCCTTCCCCCCCTTTATATTAAAAAAGCATCAGTCACATGCACAGGGGTGGGGGAATAAATCTGCACCCACTCCACCAAAGATATGGTTTTTTGGGGGGGAGCAGAGGGGGCTGAAGTCAGACCAGCTCTCCAGGTATACAGAGGCAGGGAATATTCCCAACCCGACCTGGAGATGCCAGGGATACAGATCACCCTCCTCCTAAAGCGCTGGTCCTCCTTTTTTAAAAAATGTACTGTAAATACAACACCAAGTACAGAAAGGATAACTGAGGCTAAATGCAGTGAAACAGAGAACCTTCCAAAACCCAGCACACTTTCCCCTTTTGCTGGGGGGTGGGAACAGGGTGATCAGGGTTTACCCAAAGCTCAGCCCAACATCCCTTTTTTTATTTTACACCAGAGCTAAACTGCCAAGCATCCGAAGGACGAAGTCTCTGAGCATATGCAGAGCGCCTTTTGCTCACCCACGAATCAAACAGCAAGCAGGCCGCACGCACAGGGAGGGAAGGGATTTCTACTTTTTGAAGGCCGGGAGGGATCCAGGTGGGTGCTTTTGTTATAAAATTTAATCAATAATCAGATCTCTCTGATTAGGAGAGAAATGTTACAAGGGATTGGTTAGAGTTGGGGAGAGATAGAGAATTGCCCTTTAAAAAAACAACAACAACTCGGGGCAGAACTTGGAGCAGAAATTGAAAATGTGATAATGATTGCCATAAATAGCTGTTCAAAGTAAGAATGCAGGCAGTGTCAAAATGGTTAAACCGCATTGAGTTCTCCCCTTCCTCACTGACAGTTTGCAGCCCAACATGAAATAGGAAGGCCGGGTCGAAAAGATAAAAGACTGGATGTGTTTGCAGTCTGAAAAAGAGCTCCCAATTTTCAAGTTTGGGGGAGAGGGGTGAATGGCTGTTGCAAGTCCAGGTAGGTGCGGGGTGGGGGTGGAAGAGAACCAGAAACTGCATGAAAAGCAGCAAAGTGTTGTGGATGGGAGAGAGAGAGAGAGAGAGAGAGAGAGAGAGAAAGAAAGAAAGAAAGAAAGAAAGAAAGGGTGAAAGGTCTTAGTCAATCATCAACTCACTTTCCTATAGCTTGGCTTCCCCACACTGACCTCATTCCCAAACCGCAGAGGAGGAGGAGGATGCCAGAGAGGAAGACTCAGCCCCCCCTCCCCACACAAACCATCTCACCATCAACATTTCCTGCAACTCAGCTTGAAATTAACCTTTCCCCCCAACCCACCCCCACCGGGACAAGAGGAAAAAGCAGGGACGCAACCTGCTCTCCGCCCCAAGACGCAAACCGTAAGCTCCCCAAAACACACACACAACAAACAACGACTGCGATGTCTTACACCTGAGACACATCAGGGCTGACTGGCCATCTAGCCCTCCCCCCACCCCTCTTTCTCCAACTCCTCCCTGGCAGACCAGCCCCCTCCCCACCGCACCACGTCTTTTAATTCCGAATAATCCCACCTCCCCCCCCCCAGGAACATCCGCAAGACAGGCGCAAACTGCAAAACGCGCGCGCGCAAAAATCAAGGCGCAAAAGAGAGAGGAGATGGGGGGTAGGGGATGCTCGCGATGCAAACGTGGGGGGGGGGAGAGAAAGAGGTGGGATGTGGATCTGGACCAGGGTCTGGGGCAAAGAGGGGTGAGTGGGGGGGTGTAGGTTGGGGGGTTTGGAAAAGTTACTCTTACCGCAGGGATCAGCCTCTCCCAGCTGCCGGCTCCTCCCGCCTGGATTGCAGGGTGGAATTAATCTGTATGGAGGAGGAGGAGGAGGAAGGAGAGAGAGGAGGGAAGAGGAGGAGGAGGGTGGGGGGACTGGAAGGGGGGGTGGGGGTAATCGGCACCCTGGGCGCCCCGGGGGTGGGGGTGGATGCTACGGGGAGGGGGGTGGCGGGACGAGCAGGGGGGGCCCATGCAGCCAGCCCCTTCCTCCCGGGGGCTGCAGCGCAGGCGAGCGAGGGGGAGGGCGCCTCTTTGTTCTGTAATCCCAGTAAGATTGCCACCCATTCGCCCCGGCTCTAATCCCAGCCCCGCTCAAGAGCCGCATCCATTGGCTGCCATTTACATACAGGATTAAGAGGCAGGGAAAGGGAAAGCAGGCAGAGAGAGAGAGAGTTTTGCAGCAGCAGCAGCAGCAGCAAATTGTAAACTGCAGGCGTGCAAGAGCTTTCTCTCTCCCTCTCTCCGTGTTTGTGTGTCTTTCTGCCCGAGATAAATAAAGGCTTCCTTTTTTCCTCCAATGTATTTTCTAGGATGCAAAGAAAACCCCGCAGCAGAACTTAGAGGAAGAGGCCCCCATCAAGTTGGATGGCTTTAAAAAGGCGGATTGGGACCAGTTCGTGGAGGAGGAGGAGGAGGAGGAGGCGGCTGAGGGCTGCAGAGGGGGCGACGCTCTGCCCCCACGGGTCGGAGGCAGCAATGCCGCTGAATGTCAGTTGTTGGAAACACCAGGAGGGGAGAGTTGCTTTTGTGCACGGATCCTGCTGGAGGGTTTCCCTCACCTAGGTGCTGAGGCAGGGTGGGCTATTGGGATGATCCGGCAATGCTCTTCTGGCTTTCTTATGGGTTTTCAGCTCAGCAGAGGAATCCCGCAAAGCTGCCCAAGAGGATCGGAGGGAAAATGCTCCGGCTGTTTCTCAAGGAGGAAGGTCTCATCGGCCCAAGTGCATAGGTTGGGTGGCCACCTCCCATGCATGATCCAGCTGAGATTCCTGCATTGCAGGGGGTTGGACTAGATGACCCCTGGGGTGCCTTCCAGTTCTATGAGTCTATGTTCCTTGCAAGAGACACATGCAATGAAGCAGCCTTCGGATGCCCTCCAGACGTTTTGGACTACAATTCCCATCAGTCCTGGCTGGGGATCATGGGAGTTGTAGTCCAGAACTCCATGAGGGAAGGTTGTAAAATAAGCAATACCCAGTCTACAGTGGTACCTCTGGTTATGAACTTAATTCGTTCTGGAGGTCCGTTCTTAACCTGAAACTGTTCTTAACCTGAGGTACCACTTTAGCTAAGGGGACCTCTCGCTGCCGCCGCTGCAGGATTTCTGTTCTCATCCTGAAGCAAAGTTCTTAACCCGAGGTACTATTTCTGGGTTAGTGGAGTTTGTAACTTGAAGTGTATATAACCCAAGGTACCACTGTATTTGGGAGTGTGTCCTTATCGGGAGATTTTCAAAGTTCCCCTAAATGTTTTGATGGCCTTCAGCATGCTAGGCTATGCGACCTTCAGGTCAAATCCACACCGTACATTGAAAGCGCATGGCTTCCCTCTAAAATAATCCTGGGAGCTGTAGTTTGCTAAGAGTGCTAGGAATTGTAGTTCTCTGAAGAGCAAACTACATTTCCCATGATCCTTTTGTGCTTTCAGTGTGGCCTGGAGAGCTGCTGCCAGTCAGTGCAGACAAGCCTGCCCCAGCAGCCTTGAATCACAGCTGCCTTTGGCTCCCAGCATCAAAGAACTGAGCAAGTTGAGCAGCACAGATCCCATGGGGCTGAACTCTGAGGAACTTCACGTCCTGCATCCATTGGGGAAACTGTCCATTCATTTATAACCTTTGCATCCTGTGTGTTAACCAGCAACTGACCCCTCCTCATGCCCCATGATGGCTAAGCTTACTCTGGAGTCTTGGGTGAGGGACTTTGTCAAAAGTGTTTTGCAGTCTTAAGTACACCAGGTCAACAGTATCCTATCCGAGTTAAATCATTGGCAATTTGCTTTTATTATTAAAGATTTTCTTGATTTACAAAAGTGTGGGAACTGTCTCTCTTTCGTATTCCCCCCCCCCATGTAACATTTTTACAAATCAGTTTCATTTGTTGAGACATTGGGAAGAAAAGGGGGAAAGAGGTTGGGGGGGAGATAGGTGGAGGTGGGGGTCGGGTGGCGATGTTTCTATTATGCTTAATGTATGTAGGGTTTGCTGTCAGCGTTGCTTGTGCAGGTTCTCTGCTGTTCACTTGTGTTCCTTTGGTGGTGAGAGAGGTTGGGGTTGGCCTAGGGTGTGGTTGTTCATTTGTGGTTGGCTGTGGTGGTCTTTGTTTTCATGTGTGAGTGGGTGTTTTGGATCAGGTTAGCCAAATTGATTTGTATGCTGTTGGTGGATTTTTGTCGTTGTCTTGTTGGGCTGTGTATGTGATAAAGGGGAGCCATACCGGGGTGAAGGTGTCGTCTTCTATTTGTCCCTGTGTCAATTTTAGTTTATTGGTTAATTTTTCTAGTAGGGCTGTTTCCCATACTATTTGGTACCATTGGTCCATGCTTGCACATACCTCCACATGTGGTGGGAGTGCCCCAAAATCCAACTATTCTGGACAACAACCATACGAGAAACAAGTAAAATAACCAAGCAAGTTATTGCTTGGTTATTGACCTTACTATACATCTTCCAAGACAATAATGCCCACTTACACCACAAAGAACTCATAACCCACCAACTTTCAGCAGCCAGAAGCATCATAGCCAGACACTGGAGAGACCTGTCAGGAATTTGCTTTTTTTAATATAATGCCTGCCAAGATGAGATGCTTCAGCTTATCCCATCCCTTTCCTTGGTGGGCAAATCCCCCTAACAGAGGGGGCACCATTCCGTGCCCCACTGGGGTTGCTCTTTGCCTGTGCCCACTCAGTGTGGGCCCGGGCTGCTTCTGCTACCCCCTGGGGAGCACAGCACATCAAGTGAGAAGTGAGCGAGCTCTGGCTGGGTGGCCATTCAGCGAGGAAGCCGGCCTCAGTGCAGCCTGGAGACCAAGGGGCTTCAGAAATGTGCTCTCGTGAGCACAAGGAAGGTAGAGACAGCCCTCCAGAGGCTCCGCAATTGCCAGCCTCTGCCGGGGACCTGGCAACCCTGCTAGGCCAAGCTCCAGGGCCCAGAGTCCCCTGGCAACAGGCAAGCAGGGAGGAAGGGAAGGATGGAGAGATGGGGACGGAGCCCACCAGAATGTGCCTGGGCACTGACAGCAGCATTCCCCTGGTCAGCTGCTCTGCCACTTTTGCTGGGGTGGGGATCCCGATGGAAGCCAGTGTCTGCATGGGGGGCTCCTGGTTGCGCACCTTCAGAATTTTCTCCCAGGGCCACGGCCCCCTGCCTCCCATGATATGCCACTGTGCTGGGTTAGAAGTACAGTGGTACCTCGGGTTAAGTACTTAATTCGTTCCGGAGGTCCATTCTTAACCTGAAACTGTTCTTAACCTGAAGCACCACTTTAGCTCATGGGGCCTCCTGCTGCTGCCGCGCCGCCAGAGCACAATTTCTGTTCTCATCCTGAAGCAAAGTTCTTAACCTGAGGTAATATTTCTGGGTTAGCGGAGTCTGTAACCTGAAGCGTATGTAACCTGAAGCATATGTAACCCAAGGTACCACTGCAGTCAGAGAGTAACAGGGGGCACATTATTGCTTGGGGCAAACCCCGTTGTGAGCAAATCCATCTCTCGACACCCCACAGAACGGGTCGCAACTGGGGGAAATGTAATACGCGATGGCCGCCTGGCAGCAATTTCGTGCTTGCTGAAGCAAAGGATTGCAGTAACTGAGCTGGGGGAGGCGATCCCTCTTTCCAGACGGTGGCACACACCCCGTGAAGCGGCTCAGTACAGCCGTGCCCAAGGTCAGCCCGATATTGATCCATTTTTAAATAGGGCTCGCAAGTGGAGTTGGAACGGAAAGCCTCCTTCGATCCAGTTCTTAAATAAATAAATCTCCATTTAGATTTAAGGGGCGGCAGAGCTGTAGAAAGCAGAAGCCTGCCTTTCTAGAATGGATAAATTACTCTCTCACACATCTCCAGTTTCTTGGGAGCAATTTGGGCTTCCACAAGTGGCTAGAGCAGTGGTGTCCAAACTTTTGTCAGAGAGGGCCAGATTTGATGAAGTGAAGGGCCGTGAGGGCCAAGCAAAGTTGTTGAGCTTTTTTTACAATTGAAGTTGTTGAGTTGTTTTTTTTCAGGATTTTACCCCAGGAATTAAACTGCCACAGGGAGCTGGATTTAACCAACCGGGGGCCAAATTAGGCCCCCGAAATGGACTTTGGGCCATGCCTGGGCTAGAGGGTGAGTGGACAAAGGGGAGACTGATATCATTCAGAAAAGATCAGGGAGAGAGGAGAGATCCTGTCTGTTTTTTTCACCTCCAATGTGTGAATGTGATTCTTTGTGGCCTTCTGGTTCCACCTTTGCCTCATTGTACAGAGTGACACCTCCGGCCATTTCACTGCAGCGGCAAAACCTTCCAGGCTACCCCTGCCTTTTGGCATCTGGTCAGCTACCATGAGAACAGGATGCTGGATTAGTTGGACCATTGGCCAGATCCAGCAGAAATTGATAAATGGTAGGATTCTGATTATTTGGGATGTGAAGGGAGAAATACAAGCTGCAGAGGAATTCCTGAGCCAGCCTATGCAAAAGCTAGGGCCATTAAGAAACATGACAGGGCCACTGGCAATGCAAGAGAACTGTCCTCCCCGCTTGCCCTGAGGTGTGAACAGAGGCTGGGGATTTGGAAGCTTACCATGGCAACTGGGTGCGAGGTGACAGGAAAAGAGAGTTTTTAGCAGGGTGTTCTGGGAAGAAGACTGGGATCCATCTTGGGCAGGCTGGCTGAAGGCTGGCTGGGAGAGATGGCTTGGATTCCAGAGCTGCACTGCTTTGGGGGACAAACCCCTCCTGGGATGACCATGCTGTAAGATCTGGACTCCCTCCATGCAGATGGAACGTGTAAACAGGTGAATAAACCAATTTGCTAAAGCTTCAACAGTCCCCACTGTGTCTCAGTTCTCCAAAGGAACACAGATCCTTTTGTAACATTATGTTGTAGTTGAGCCTTGCCTGA